ATTAAAATTTTCTTGGTGGTAGTAGTCATTAATTTCTTGATTATTAAAAGTTTGTTCATCCATTTCAAAAAAAAAAAAAGGTAACCTAAGTATATTATATAATTATTAATTTTGAAAGAAAAAGCAATATGATTTATAATTATTTTAACAATATTAATGGACAGGTAATTTAATTGTTGTTAAATTAAAAGTTATCTTTATTTTATTCAAATTTAGATTCTTTAAATAATAAAATTACAATTCTTAAAATACAAATATAGATCATGAAAGAAAGAAATAAAATTATAATCTCTATATTGTATGTGAGCTTATAGACTTCCCAGAAAGTATTAATCTTAAAGATAACATTCATAAAATACAAATAAATAATCTCTATATTGTATGGGAGCTTATAGACTTCCTGGAAAATATTAATCATAAAGATAACATTCATAAATAAATATAATATAATAATAATAATTAATAATCATTGTACACCATTGCCAACACTCCTAAAAAATATCAATAATTTAAGGACAATAATATTCATAATTCTTTGAAGAAAAACACAAATAATCCCGATTGCCAAATTAGTAATAGTGAATTTAAAAAGACGAATTTCTCTACATTACCAAATATGGTATTAGTATATATTAATTGCCAATTTCGACTAGAATTATTTTACCAATTGATCAAGATCAAGATTGTTACAACAATTATAAAGTTTGTATTTATTATATCAAAAATATTGCTTCAACCACAAGGAAATAGTTGACCTTTTTATATTATTAGAAAATGACAAAACTACAAAATGGTGAAAAGGCAAGAGTCATTATAGGTTACAATTCTTTTCGATTCTATATTAATATAGTAATAGCCAATGACAAAAGGGTCTGATTTTCGATCTTTTATTTCATTAATATTAAACAATTGATCAATGAATTTTATTGGATTTTATGTGACAATTGGTTATTTCCGGTCCATTATTTCTTTATTTTATAGTTTTTTTCTTTGTTCAATATCTCTATTATAATTTTTGTCAATTTCCTTCTTGATATATTAGTATTAGTATTAGTAAATAAATATAATCCGGTATTAGTATTTACTATTTGAAAATCTTTGCTTTTTTGGCTTCTTTGTTATATTATTCGTCACACCTTAATTATAGCAATGTTATTTATCACGTACGTCACACGATAAGATCTTGTGTAATTTTCAAACCGAACCAAACCAAACCAAGCTGCCCCATCCCTAGTGTGTGACCCTGTGTGACACCCTTATGATATCCATGAATACAAACCCTAGTCATAAACAAAGGGACCACCAGAGTTTTCTTCATAGAGTACCTCTTGAATAGTATCATCTACTTCTAAAAGAACTCAGAAATCTGGTTTCTCAGATCAACTCCTTTTTGAAATTCAGAAGCTAACAATCCTGCTCCTTCCCTAATGATTGAAAAATAAAATAAGTCATTCATGTAAATAGATGTTAAGAACAACCATTTGATCAAATTACTGTCAAAACAAAATATATATACCACTGCCAAAAGTCTTGATCTCTTGAGGGGTCTGCAATTAATTTTAATATCAGATCTATAACAAGTCAACCCCACATACCCTCTAAGCAGTATTTTTTATGTATTTTATGTCCCCAAAGGAGAACCTAAAAATAAAAAGGTGAATCAACAGAAATATAAGAAAAAAGAATTATGAAAAGATTAGACTTACAAATGTTTACAAATATCTCAGACAAAAAAATAAAATAGCTGGCATCAATCATCATTGTTTATTAAACCAAAGTTATCACAACACCATCTTTTGTTATCCAGATAGAATTTATTAAACAAATTCTCAAAGGTTTGTGATAGCGTCTTAAAATAAGACTCAGGAATACAAGTTACTTTGTCAAACACTTGAGAAATTATGTGTTGAAATTTCTTTTGTGGTTGGGTGAAATCTATTATAAATGATAATACCAGATGATCATATTCAAGCATCTTGATCTCATCCCAAACAATAGTCCTAGCAAATTCATTTCCAACATCTATGGAATTATTATTATGAGTAATTATCCACCAAGATGATTGGGTCTAAATATATAAAAATTTAAGTAATAGTTAAAATGAAAAAATATATAAATCCAAAAACAGTATTTGCCTGCAAACACTTGTGTTTTTTAAATGTTTCTTTTCTCTCTGTATCCCCTCCAATCATTTTACTTTCAAGTTTCTTCCATTCTAGGGTTGCGTTGTATTCACGTTCACACCAATTGATGAATGCATGAGGGTTTTCAAGACGAAGTTGAAAAAATTTTGGTGCATTGCAATCCTTCTCCAACTTATAATAAATTTATAAGATTTATTAATATGAATTAATGGCAGACTCATAAAAAAAAAGCCTAATAATTAATCATCCATGTGTGATAAATGGCAAATGACAAGAATGCATACAATTGACCATTGCAAAATAAAAAAGAAATGCCTAACCATCTGGCATGTATATAATACTGCATAATGATAGAAAAGTTCCCACACATATATTTAACACATATTTGAATTTGCAAATGACAAAAAAAAACATACATAATTGACCATTTGCAAAATAAAAGAACTGCCTAACATCTGATACATATATAATACTGCAGGCAATAGAACAGCCCCACAAACACATATTTAGATATGTTTGTATTTGCAAGTGACGAAAATGCATGCAATTGACCATTGCAAACCTGCCTAACCATACAGAGTGATAGAACAATTCACTTCAAATCGTAAGGATTCCAGGATATTTTAATCATTTAATGAAATATAATAAAAAATATCAGTGTAAATAAATTTATACCTTCTTATTAATGTTTATTTCCTCCTTTGTCCATTCATTCTTATTTTTTTGGGGTAAGTAAATTTGCTTATGAGTTCTCCAGGTAAAAAAGTCACAGCTCGTGATTAAATGTGAATCATAAATATGAATGAATTCATTGAATGTACTGGCATCTGATTCAGGTAGCAAGAGTGTAACATGCTTTTTTGTGAAGATTGAGACGAACTAGCATGCCTTTTTGATGCTTTGATGTAGGGAGAGTTTTACTTGAAGAACTTCTAAGTTAGTGACCTTGTGTGTTTATTGTATTTAATGTTTTGTCTTTCAAGGGCATGAACATAGTTTGAGAGTTTAAGACAAGAACACGAGTAAAAAGAGAGTTAGGAGAGAATGTGAAAGCCACCAAGGGGTTACAGGAGCTTCTATATATTAATATGAAATTTTTGTGGCAAAATAAAAGCTTAAATTAGAAATTTGCATATTTTTATTACACAGCCCCATAATGGCAAGTATAAAAAATGTGAAAGTTTTGAAGAGTGCATTTTTGATTATTATACTGCATGTGTATATACAGCAAGTAATCAAAAAGATAATTATAATGAAAAATCTATTGAAGAGAAGAAAACATTACCTTTACCTCCTGATGATGATAATTTACATGCAAACTGAAATTTTGTTTGAACATTCGTGTGACAAGCATGATAATTGTTGGGAATAAGTTTGTTGGAAAAGCAAAAATCCAGAAATAGAGTTGCAAGGTGAGAACTTAATTCATTATTCTAAAATAGAAAAAGGAACCTTCAAAAAATGATCCAAGACATTATCAAAAAACCAAAGGGTCAATCACTTATCACCAAAACATGTACTTGCCATAATGAAGCTATGAATCATACCAAGTTATGTTTTCTTGATAAAAAAATTGATTATACAAAATTATTTGTTGCAAAGGCATTCCATGGCCCTTTTACATAATAATCTTGGTGAACTTGAGATTTGGACTCAAATGTGCAATTCATTAGGTGAAACTGGGTCTTTTTCTATACAAGATTTAAAAAATATAGAAAAATATGTGAACAACATGATGTTAAAAGAGAAGAAAATGTAAATAACATAAATGAGAGAAATTCAAAAAAACATGATCAATTGAATTCCTTACTGTGCCAGTGACATGCATGTCATGTCTAAATCTCCATTTTTAAATTGTGTTTATAACTATACATGGATGGTAATTATTTTGCCAAAAACGTAATACGTAATACGTAATACGTAATTACGAAATTAATTACGAAATTAATTACGGGTGACGAAATCAATTACGAATGACGAAATTAAATGGCACCTATTATTTATCTTGTTATACTAGTTTAATGACATAATTTGTCAACTTTTTTTAGATTTATTCTGTTAGAACGACGCGTCAGTATAATGGGAGAACCAATCAAAATCATTCTCATTTCTGAAAAAACACAAGGAAATAAAACTTACGCCGGGATCAAGATTGACCGGCATCATGGAAAATTCTGATAACACTTCTGTATAATGCTGGTCAATTTTTATCCGGCGTAGGTTTTAAATTTCCTGATAAAACATGAATGAAATAAAAAAAAAATTATAAAATCACATGATAATGACTTCTATATGAACTCCCGTTATAATGACATTCTCGTCATACTGACATTTTTTGTTTGTGCGGAGAGTGTTGTTATAACGGGAGTGACTTGTATTATGATATTTCCAATGATTAATTCGTTGTTATTCATAATTAATTTCGTCGCCCGCAATACGGTAATTAATTTCGTAATTATGTTTTTAAAGAGGAAAATGGTAATTAACTATGATAATTACGTACTCACGGTAATTATGCAATTGCCATCCCATGTATAGCGTTAATAACGGTTTGCATAGAAAATTTTCACAATAGTAATTAATTTGTCGCCCGTAATTAATTTCGTCATCCGTATTTAGTTTCGTCACCCGTAATTAGTTTAAGTGGTGGGTGTGCAATCAGAAAAAATTGCTACACAACTAACTATACATGAAGTCGAAATTAAAGCCCCAAAGTCAAAATGTTTCGATTTGAGGCAACTACATAGTAAAAATCAGTTTCAACATTATTTCGGCCCTATTTCAACCAGATCTGCAAACGGTCAAAATAGTTTTGACTTCATGTACATATGCACCATTACCATAGAAATCATTTGAACTTTAAAAAATGGTTCTTTTTATTTCTCTTTTAATTGTAAATACAATACATTTTTGTCATTTTTATTAATGAGGTGTGGGATGGGATTTTAAGGATTTGAGTATGGGTAGTAAGTACAATGTATTAAGAAAACTCAACAATCACATAACATAATTAAATTATCAAATTACTTTGTTAATAAAAAAAAATGGACATGCCAATTTTCTGTAAAGCTAATTCATATCTTTTTTTTGTCTCTGAAATTCTAAACAGAATTTTTTAATAATAAATCATACCAGTTAGTAACAAAAGTTCCAGAGGTTATGTATATAAACCTTCACACTTTCAGATTTTCTAGAATTTTGTCAATTGGAAATAAAAGATATTTGAAAAAAACAATACAACATGTAATAATTGCTCTAAAGCCTACATATGGGGCATACTGCAACAAAACCAGACAAAGTGAACATTATATTTCAGGAATCAAATTTTATAAATTTTTTTTGAATGCATAAATCTTTATGAAACTAAAAATTTACATATTTTAAAGTGGTATGTATACTTCATTTTAAAAATCCAACCTTTAATATTTTATCATTCTAATGATGCTAAATTTTTCCTAAAATATAAAATTACCTATTTTTAAAAAAATGGATAATTTAGAAGTTGATTATCAATTATTATTATTTTTTGTTGTTATAATAGATATAATATTTATATGTAAAATCAATTAATGATTAATAAAATGATTTAATTATCAGTCAATAAAAATGCAAGAACTTGATTCATAACTTATCATACATCATTATCTCTTCTTACAAATGCTGATTTTTTCTATTCTTTGGAGTGAAATGAGTTGACCGAATGAATGCAAGTTTTTTATGTGTTGGCTTTGACTTTTTCTTATTGCCAAAGATTTTCTTGTATGGATGGTGTTCTTCAATAGACAACAATTCTACTTTGTGCATAATATTATCCTAACCATTACAAAAGATTAAAATAAGCAATTCAGCTGCCAATCACCTCAAGGGAATATTCAATAATGACAAAATGCTCATTTACCTTAAAAAAATAAATAACCTCCAATGCATGCTGTAATGATTTCAATTGTAATAATTGTGATGGGAAACAAAAAGAAGGACCTCCAACACCAAAATAGAGACCATCATCAACCAAGTCAATGCCAATGAGCTGACCAGATAAAGCTAAAAGTAATGAGGAATAGTGAATACCAATAATAATCAATGTAGTCAAATGAAATATTGAAGAAGGAAACTCACCTGAAAACTGAAATCCAAAAATTATTGAATCATTAGCTCCTTCATCTGATATATTTTGTCTCAATAATTCATTAAGTATGCATTGATTGGTTCTATAACATTACTACGATCTCTTACAGTCTTTGCAGGCATTGCACTTGGTGCAGCCGAAGAATGACTTAATTCCACAACTTCCATACCTTGGACTCTGCATTCGATTCTTAAGTCAATTTTTCGGCATTTTGTGCCTTTGATATTGTTTCACACCTATATTTCATACAATCAGATGTTAAAAGGTGATGGATAGGTAAATAGGTATACTGAAATCAACTCATGCTTACCAACGAAGATTGATCATGCTTGAAACATTGGAGAACACAACATCTAGGATAGGTGCCACTACCTTTAGCACATATTCCATCTCTGTAAGCTTTCTCTTTTGACCATCTTCACAAATAAACACATATGGATTTTGCAAAAACATGTCTAAACTAACGGTGGAAAACATATGATTTAGCAGATGTAAATGGAATGATTTAAGAAAGCATAATGACACACACACACACACACACACACACACACACACACACACACACACACACACACACACACACATATATATACATCAAAAAGTATATCTTGAGAATTTGTTGGTATTTGACACTGGCTGACTGATTTTTCATCTTATCCAATATAAGTTCTCGTGCCTCCCAATATTTATATATAGTGCACATCTAAATGCAAAAATAAGTTTAACGATATTGACTTGGAAATGATTTCTTCAAGGCTAAGTGAATCTTTTACCTCTTCAATAGCTTTTATGGTTTCAAGAATAATGCCCTCAAAATGCAATGGTGTGAGATTGAGTTGACCATACACCTTGGTTTTAAGATCATCCCATTCTTCACCAAAGAATGTATGCATTCCAATTTCAAATTCAGATGTGAGATCTACAATGTATGACAATCCAAGACTGTAATTAAGATTGTCAGTAATTTATACCATTAATTCAACAACAATAATATAATAAATGATATGTTGTACCGAATAACATTGTTGTAAAAAGCTTTTGGTCTCTTAGTATTTGTTTTAGAAGCTTCCATTGTCTTCATTGTTCCTTCTGCAAGAATTTCTGTAACTAACTTTCCATTTTTTAATTTCCATTCTGTTTCTTTTTTGGAAATTGTATTAAATACTGATAAATAAGAATTTACATCAGATACATCATCATCACTACTATTTTCTCCATCTCCATCTCCATCATATCCATCTCCACCATCTTCGTCTTCATCCGAGTTGTCAAGATCTAGAAATGTCATCATAAGATTCTGAGAGAAAATGAATGAGTTATTTACTGTCCAGACCTTTGACATTAAGTATATATACACTTTCATACCCTAGGTGCCACATTGATCTTGTTCATTGAATTTTTATGCTAGATTAAATTGCAAAGAATGTGTAAATTACATCCATACAACAATTCATTTGATTTACAAAACTGTGTATCACCTTCATAGGATGTTCATTTGATTTTTCCAGAATGTCCCATCTCCTTTTTCCAATTAATTTAGAATGGATTGTTTCTTCCTCAGATTTTCCAATGATATAATAAAACTGGTAGAAATATTTAAATTTAATTAATCCACACAATAAACATTTATAACAATAAACATAATTCAAAAGAACTCACATCAGAAATTGCCACTTGCAAGTTTGTTTTTCAACAAGTTTCAGGGTGTTTTCAGCATCTAATATTTTGTATTCATTCCAGAACTGTTTTACAGCAATGGAATCTTTATCATTCTTAAAAAATAATTCAATGAAATTGACTTTCTTAATTAGTTGCATTATATGCTTGACAAACTGAACAAGACTCAAGGTCTATCACTTGGTCTGGCTCAAAAGACCAACCAAATGTGTCCAGCAATAGATTGAGGCGTCCTACCAAGACACCTTCATGAAATGAAAGTGATCAAGGCTTGTCAGCAGTACTGTTGATGAACTGAACAAGATTCAAGGTCTATCACTTGGTCTGGCTCAAAAGACCAACCAAATGTGTCCAGCAATAGATCGAGGCGTCCTACCAAGACACCTTCATGAAATGAAAGCGATCAAGGCTCATCAACAGATTCCAAACATGTTTCATATCATAATAATTAAAAAAAAATATAACCTTAAAATTAAAT